CCATCTCGACTATGCTGAATCTCGTGACAATGTTGGTTTTCAGAAAAAACTGCAAGAATGGAGCGAAAACCTATACTAGGGAAAATAGCCCATTTTTGATTATTTTCATGTGTCAAAATTTATTATCCAAAATATCAAGAAATACTCTATTTTATCTGCTCATTCTGATTCTGTATGTAAAAGCAATAACACATATTCTTTTAGTTCCGAAGGTTTCTGGGAAACCTTTCTAGAAACCAAAGTATTTTCTGTTGACTTTTTCAACATTTATTGAGCTTTATGGTATGCTGCAGATAAAACAGAGTATTTTCATTTTGAAGTAGGTTAGATGGATTTTGACTGAGTTATGAATTATTTAATTTTTGACGAAAATAATCAAAAATGGGCTATTTTCCCTAGTATAGGTTTTCGCTCCATTCTTGCAGTTTTTTCTGAAAACCAACATTGTCACGAGATTCAGCATAGTCGAGATGGCCATCGAATGGTGAAAACTACTGCAAGTCTTTATCTGTTTTTCCCTTCGAGTTATTCAAACAATAATGACTGCCCTTCCTTTTTAAAACGAAGAGTAGCTATGTAAAAAAAAACAAAATTTTAAGAGAACAAAGAGACTGACAATCGGGAAACTTTCTTTCCCTTAATCACCAATATTAGCATTATATAACCTAATAACAGAAAAAAGATCTCATTCAGATTTATTTTTTTCGAAATTTTCGCTCACATCGTACAATACCAGAGCAAATCGCACAGGTAACAAGACAGTCCGAAGTCGTTAAGCCTAGGGCAAAAGTTTCGCGTGCATCTCAGAAAATATTTCAACTTTCCGGATATCGAATAGTGTATGATAGGTTGAAATTCTCGTTTTTATTCATAAAGATATTGTCATTTTAATCTCACAAGACATTCGACTTTGGGCATTTTACTAGTAAAAGCGTTCTTTTTAAGGAAAGATAAAATATTTTAAGCCTGAAATTTGGACATATACTCTACATCATTGGAGAAAAAACAATGAGAAAATCGCCAAGAAAACTAGAGTATTAACGAAGATCTCGGAAAACCTCACTGTAGAGAAAAGAACAAAAGCCTGCAAGTGAAGTTTGTTTTTGTTCCTTAAAAAATGTTTTTCCATTAATGTCTTAAAGTAATTTTTGATACTTTTATTCCTTTAGTTCAAGGATACACGGTTCGGTTATTTGACTTTATTCATTGCTCAAGTATTGGCTATACACTCGCCATTACGCTCTCAAGTCTACAATTCTAGTCAAAGAAACAGTTCGAAACTACGTCATGTCAAAATTAAGTATTATTCCAAGGCGGTCAAAGGACAGAGGAGTAGCTAACCATGAATGGTTAAAGACTTTTCACACTTGGTCATTTTCCACGTATAATGATCCCAAATTTCAAGAATTTGGCTGTCTTAGAGTACTGAATGAAGACAGAGTACAACCCGGTACCGGATTTGGCTCTCATTCGCATCGAGAATTTGAAATCTTCAGTTACATTGTCGACGGAGAGCTACAACATAAAGATTCGATGGGCAATACGGAGATTATTCATCGAGGTGAAATACAATTTACTAGTGCCGGCACGGGTATTACTCACTCTGAATATAACATAAACAAATCACTACCGGTACATTTTATTCAAATTTGGGTCAAGCCAGATGAGTCCCAATTAAAACCGTCGTATTCGATGAAGAAGTGGTTAGATACAGATAAAGAGAACAAATTGGCACTTTTGGTTGACAATATCAAAGACGCCGATGCGAACGTTATTCCGATTCACGCCAAGCTTAGCATGTACGCTAGTATTCTGTCGCCCTCAAAGTCTGTGACTTATGCGTTTAAACGAAGCAAAGGATACTTACATTTGATAATGAGATCAGGCTATGAGACACCAGAGAAGAGTGCAAAATTAAAGATTAAAGATGAAGTGCTGAATGAAGGAGATGGAGTATTCATTCTTTGTGAACCGGAAACGGAAGTCACAATTGAGAGTTTGGGTGATGTAACTGCGGAGTTTTTGCTGTTTGACCTTGAGTAGAGATATGGTTATAGTAGTAGTAGAGAATGATATTCTAAAAGTCATCGATGATCAATGCCATTTTATACTGGATTTTATTTTATATTTGGAATTTATGTCATTTAGAATTAAACTACAACATAACATTGAAGATTTCATATTTCAATAGCTTATCTCTTTATTCTTTTCTGGTGATGTACGATAATTTTGTAGATTACCAATTAAGTCAGCTTACAGAAATTGTACCAAAAAGTTTAAAACGTTAAAAGAACGAATAATCAACTTTAAAAGGATCACATCATAGCAAACTAGAACCATATGCTTTAATTTCGACACTTGGCTTTTTAAGTGTGGTATTTTGCTTCTTTCTCAGTTCCTGGTCTCGACACTTCCATTAAAATACATGGAATTTTAGAGAGTTTTCAAAAAACATGTGTGCGCGCGACCCGAAAGTGAAATACTCTTGAAATAAAAAAATTTTCTACACTCATAGCTGCTACTAGAGAAATGCTGAACTGAAAAGGATCAAGTTGATCTTTCATTTTCGCTTAAAAGCTCTTAACTATTGATTGTCTCACATAGATATAGAGTATCGTGGGCTAAAAAATTAATTATACGCTTGATTTTCAATTTTTTTCCATGATCATTATACCTAGAACAAAAACGCAGAAAGATTTGAATAGCTACAACAATTTCCAGTAATGCGTATAAAAATTCTATCAAAATTGTTTGTAGCCCGGATTTCTAAAAACAACCCAATGAAACCAAATCCCCGAGTTCGACTAGGAAACTCTTTAGAAACAACTTTATTGTAAAGAGCAAACATTTCTGAACAAAGTGCCTCATTTTCAGAGACAACTGAACAAGTTACACTATTTCATGTTCTAAACGCCGCTAAATAAAGCTTATACCTCTTCGGACAATGATCTTGATAAAAATGTAGTTAAGTTTTTTGCTTTCGACAAGACACTTTGATATGATTGATATAAAAGAATATTTGTGCATTGCTTACGTTCTATTGAAAGAGCGAAACTACATGGAAACCCATTACACTGAAGAGAACGTTTTCGGAAAAATTGTTAGACGAAGACCAGGTTTTTTCTCTGTCACATTAAGGCCCTCTCATTCAGAATTCGATTTTCAACACAGAACGCCAGATCTGGAAGAAATTCTTAGTAAATGATACTCATATCAAAGTTAGATTTTAGTAAAATTCTTAGCTTTAGATCTCGCGTTTTTCCAGAATTATTCATAAAAAATATGATCAAAAAGTAGGTGCCGGGCGCTTCCTGGATTTCGATGCATTTTAAGTGCTAAAATTTTCAGATTAGTCTTAAAATGTAGCCAAGATTTGACACTACAACTTAACAGAACTGGACTTTTTACTTTCGACGTGGCCTGAGAAAAATGAAAAGGTTCGGTAAAGCTAGCTACTTCTTTTTTTTAAGATTTTGTGGCGTTGTCGAAAACCTTTTATTTTTCTTAAAAATAATGTCGAAAGTAAAAGATCCGGCTCTGTTAGGTTGTAACGTCAACTCTTCGCTATATTTTAGGAGTATATTATTGAGCTTTTGATCGTGATCATCTGCAGACTGGACGAGTGAAATTCTAAAAAGATATATTACGGAAATAAATGGACTGAGATTTTGGACTGAAGTTCCTTTTTGTACTATTCTTTCACCTCGTTAAACTGTTTCTGTCATATTTTCATCTTTAATTTTTTAACACTGCACTCATTAAAGTGCAAGTGTTTTCGATCGACGACGTTTCATACATTCACTTTAAACATACGATAAAAAACAAGAACTTTACTTCAAAAGCTCAGTTCCTTCATTTCCGAATATGTCTTTCTGGTTGTTCACTCATTCAGTCGAACGATGTTACGTGTTCCACATCAAAAGCTCGATAATAAATTAATGATCTTTATTTAATTAACCTAGTCTTATATATAACGTTTAATGCCTTAGGCTTTTAGAAACGAACAGTGTTTTCAACTGAGTGTAAAATGTCAAGTTTATAGCATCTATTCTACCTTCCAAAATCTCAAAAAAAGAAATAATATTAATGCCCGAAAGATCAAGAAAAGAACCGAACAGTTTTGCCGCTTTAATCAAAAACATTTGTGTCATGAGATATCCAGAACACTAGGACTAACCGTGAGGTGATTTTTCATTCAACTCATTCCGCAGATGCAGACCGAGCAGCTTATGAATTGTCTCTCTCCTTTAAGAGGAAGATCTATAAATTATGTGACTGTGGGCACAACAACACGTATCTTTGTCAAGAAACTGCTCTCAATGAGTCTCGTCAAGATCGGATCGTTGGCTAACGACTACCAGGTGCTCAGTTCAACTCCCACGTGATGATGTGCTCACTTTCAAAGGCAAAACTTATGGAACCAAATACTCGTTCATTTTCGATCTCAGCCGCAAAGATCTGCTGGGAAGTGTTAAGGAAAAATCGCTCCTCATTCGATGACAAAAGCGTAGTTCTTCGAAAATCCAAATGGCTTGACTTATCGAATTTTCAGTCAGTTGAAGCATAAAACAATTTTTGGAATCATATGAAAGAAAAAGAGCACTGTTTGACTGGGAATGATAGAAAATGGGCGATTCTTGTAGATAGAGTTTGAAAAATCTATAGAAAATCATTTTTAGGACGCCTCAGTTTGTGTAGCCGGTCCGCTAGCCTGTAGAAGTTTTTAAACTCGCCCGCGGTATCGGGATCGGTTTTTAAACTTGCAGAATTTGACAAAATTGAACATAAAATGAGGATGATTGTTACTGTAGATAAAACTTTATTAAAAGAACTTGTATCATCGTTTCCTCTCGCTTGAGGCGACCCCGCAGAAATATATGAATGCTGGCTACGTCACAGTTTACTTCTCTGTTCTCTGTTCTACTTTATTGAGTTCTATCCTCGATCGGTTTGCCAGTAAGTTCCGGGTTGTAAATTTCCAATACGTGTCTGGCAAGCTGGTAGACGTTTCGATCATTCAAATTAGCAAAAAAAACGATCGATAGTTTATCATCTGGAACGCGAATAATCATTGACTGGAAGCCCTGCCACGACCCACCATGTTCAATAATGCGCATTCCATTCACCGCCTCTCCCAACCTCCAACCGAAACCGTATGGATGCGTTATGTTATTGTTTAACTTAACAGGACTCCACATTACATCGAAACTTGCCTGTTTTTTAAGTAGTTTATCGCCGTAAAGCGCCGCATCCCATTTAGCCATATCATTAATGGTCAGATACAAACTTCCGTCCGCCATAGTGTTAAGTGTTGGTGAAACCCACTCCTGATTTTTGAGTTCATCATTGACGAGAACGTATCCAGCAGCACGATTCGGAATGATGTCGTGTTCATTAATAACTTGTGCGGTTGTCATTGTGAGAGGATTAAAAATATATTCTTTAAGAAAATCGCCGTAAAACTGATTTGCCACACGGTTAATTAAAATTCCTAGTATAACATATCCAAGGTTACTATACGCCCATTGTTCGCCTGGCTGAAATGCAAGCGGAATGGTTCTGATTTGTCTGTAAATATCATCTTCGGTATAATCGGCACGATAATTAAAATCTTCAGGATAGTCAGTCATTCCAGAAGTATGCGTCAAAAGATTTCGGATAGTGATATTGTTCCATTTGATAGGTGCATCCCTGAAATAGTTGTTAATTTTATCGTCTAATTCAATTTTTCCTTGTTCAACGAGCATCATTACAGCCATTGAAGTAAATTGTTTGCCGACTGAGCCAGATTGAAAAATTGTTTCAGCCTTTACAGGTACTTGATGTTCAATATTCGAATAGCCATAACCTCTACCATGGATAATCTTCCCGTCTCGAATAATGGCAAGCGAAGCGCCAGGAATCTTCTGTTTTTCCATCTCGACTTTGATAAATTCATCAACTTTGGCGTTAATAGTATCGTCTGGCGCTAGTATAGAAAGAATAGAATATTGGGATAAACTACACAAATCTTACAACGGCTCGATACAAGATCTTAAATTATCCTAAATAATAGGATTCTAACTTGGACTACAACAACGTCACAGAGCATTTCTAATATAAAGCGGTGAAATATTTATTAGCCTAATGGGCGGATTAAGCGAAATTTATTTTTTGGCAGAACTTTCAGGATAAATAACCCTAATATAGAGGGGATATGGACATCTTTTCTTATCTAAGCATATATCGTTCCGAATTAGGGCTGTGACAGTTACCAGTTACCGTTACTATCGTTTCCCGTTACTAACGGTAACGATAATTGACATAAAACTAATAAGCATCGTTCCTCGTTAGTAGAGGTAATGGTAATTGATATACAGTAAGAAATCCTTTACCCTCCAGTAACGAGGAACGATGCTTATT